TCCACACTTATTCCTGGTTAGAGACTAATAGTTCATTCTCACGATTTCCCATGCCTTACACACACGCGTGTTAAGACACATCATGCTGCACATTAACATGAAATGCGTTAAGGCAGCTCATTCCTTTGAAATCGGTTGCCTAACACACCTGAATGCACCAAAAATGGTGCATGTAACATTTTTGGCAGTACACTGCACCACACAAGTATTTTTATCAATCTGTAGCACCTGAGGATTGTACATGAGCATAGAACAGAAAAGGTAATGCAATCTCATCCCTCATCCATCCCGTCAACCCTTAACGCTCATATACGCTTGTGGTTGGGTGCTGGTAAAAACATGTGGTTGAGCCTTGTTTTTGTTGTCCCTCCAATCCTTCCCCTTAGAATGCATAGTCAGCAAATGGGGGGGGGGGTGTGTTATACATGTTTTGACAAGAATTAAACCCGTCACATTTGTCAGGTAGTACTACCTGCCAAACATGACCCATTCTGCAGTACAGAGGTACAGTCCTAAGGATTTACCTCCCGTCCACATCAAAGCTGATTTTGAAATCGTGCGACATACAGTGAAGTTGCACGATTTCAAAAGCGGATTTCATTGCGATTTGCAAGACAACTGACACAGAGGTCTATGCAAATTGCAACAAAAGTAGTGCATGTACTGTAGCAAACTTGCTCATCAGAGTTGGACGTGGAGTTCCCCTTTTCCTTTTTCTTTTTATTTGAGGTATTCCTTGATCATTCACTCCCTACTCCCTTCCTTCCTGAGTGACAGATGGTGGGGGGTCAACACAGGTGCAGGCATCCCTAGTTTGGTGCCGAGTAGTCTGCGAAAGTGTAACCTTTCTCACCCATCATAAAACAGATAGGGCAGCTTCTCCCAGGACTTGAAAGAAGTTGGAACCTCATAAAACTGACCAGCAGTTAATTTAACATTCCTCAGGTCAGCTGTCACCTATGTTTCACATCATGGAGTATGAAGCTGTTAGTTTTGAGAGTCCACTGTCATCCTGCCCAAAATATTGTATTGGGCAGACTCAGAGCCACCCCCCCCCCCCCCCCCCCCCGCAGGAGAATTTTAAAAAGGACAGGCTGCAAGCCTGGAAGCTAAGAAGAAAAGCACATCTCCTGAGTTTAACATCGTAACATTGGAGATCAAAGACCCTTCCTGCTCTGCACTTGGATCTGCTTACAAACCAAGGCATATTGGCAAGTAACTTAACCCTTTAACGTCCTTCCTATTATCTCTTTGCTGTACCTTTTATATGCATATATATATATAGTTACATTTTCTTTGTAAATATTTTATTGCACCTGTTTGACTCTTTTAGTAATAAATCCTTCTTTCTGAAAGTGTTAAACTGTTTCTAAGCGCTTACTTGCAATTCACGAATTCCTGCCTTTGAAGAGACGCTACTGTGTTTGTTTAATCCTCTGTCCAATCGGCCTGTGGTGACCGTATTGGACAGGCGACTTTTCAATCATTATAGTGTATATTTGATTTCCCAGTTTCCGACAAAAGTGGTGGTGGCAGTAGAGGGTTAGTTGCATAATTAACCCGACCCAGTAACAAGCGCATTCAGGCTGCAGGCACCGATTGTAGCCCATTAGCTGGACAATCGCTGTGCAGGGTGCAGCTGGGTGGGGCCTTGTTACGTGTGTCACACCGCGGTTTTAGATCGGTGAGAAGGTCTGGGGTCTGACGCCGCGGGTGTGACATATTACTGGTATTCGCGGTCGTGCGATTGTCGCATGTTGGTGGCGGCGACCGTGCGATCGTGACATGTACTACTTTAGAAATTGTTGCGGCTCTGACCAAGTCGGAACCGCACTGATATGACCGCTCTGATAACGGATAATAGGGTGCGACTTGGCATGCGATTTTCAAGTTGCATGGCATGCAAATCACATGCCAAGTCGCACCCAATGTGACCGGGGGGGGGGGGGGGTAAGACAGGAAGAGACATAATGGGGTTCATTTAGTAAAACTTGAGAGTGCACAATCTGGTGCAGCTGTGCATGGTAGCCAATCAGCTTTTAACTTCAGTTTTTTCAATTAAGCTTTGATAATAAAACCTGAAGGCTTATTGGTTACAGAACTGCACCAGATTTTCCACCCCCAAGTTTTAGCAAATAACCCCCAATGCCTTCTGAAGAGCAATCCGCTATGGTTTACATTGTGGTTCTCTTGCTGAAATGTCTTTTTTTTTCTCTTTTAAATACAGTGAGGAGGTTATACAGTCAGATTGCAAAGCGTATTCTAAGCTTAGAGCTAAATTCATACCCATGTGTTTTCCTTCTTGTGTGTTTTCCATTGAAATCAATAAAAAACATGAAAATGCATATCATTGTGTATCAATGGATATTATTGTGCCTTGCCACACATTTTTAATACAATATTATTTGAACTGAACCTCAAAATGCATCGTAATGGACATCAGAGCACATCAACATGCACTGACATATGTCATAATGCATTCATGTTCATTCTCATTAGAGATGAGCGAATTATTCAAAAATTCGATTCGGCTGATTCGCCGAATTTGTGGGAGAAATTCGATTCGATGCGAATTTATTCGCTGCGAATTTAACTTATTAAAAGGGTTTCTAGGCTTCAGAGAGCCTTTATATTAGTGCAGAACACTGTACCTTTAATTTAAATGCCCTTGGAGTCTGCTGGGGAAGAGAAAAATAATACTGTCAGTCAGTATGACATGCAGATGAGTGCCGTCGATCTTAGAATCACCGCACACTTCACTCATTTGGGCAGTCACGGGGCACGACGAAGAAGAAGAAGAAGAAGAAGAAGAAGAAGAAGAAGAAGAAGAAGAAGAATGAAAAGAAGAATGAAAAGAAGAAGAAGAAGAATGAAAAGAAGAAGAATGAAAAGAAGAATGAAAAGAAGAAGAAGAAGAATGAAAAGAAGAAGAATGAAAAGAAGAATGAGAAGAAGAATGAAAAGAAGAATGAAAAGAAGAAGAAGAATGAAAAGAAGAATGAGAAGAAGAATGAAAAGAAGAATGAAAAGAAGAAGAAGAAGAATGAAAAGAAGAAGAAGAATGAAAAGAAGAAGAAGAATGAAAAGAAGAATGAAAAGAAGAAGAAGAAGAAGAATGAAAAGAGAAGAAGAAGAATGAAAAGAAGAAGAAGAAGAAGAATGAAAAGAAGAATGAAAAGAAGAATGAAAAGAAGAAGAAGAAGAATGAAAAGAAGAAGAAGAAGAATGAGAAGAAGAATGAAAAGAAGAATGAGAAGAAGAATGAAAAGAAGAATGAGAAGAAGAATGAAAAGAAGAATGAAAAGAAGAATGAGACGAATGAAAAGAAGAATGAAAAGAAGAAGAAGAATGAAAAGAAGAAGAAGAAGAATGAAAAGAAGAAGAAGAAGAATGAAAAGAAGAAGAAGAATGAAAAGAAGAAGAAGAAGAATGAAAAGAAGAAGAAGAATGAAAAGAAGAAGAAGAAGAATGAAAAGAAGAAGAAGAATGAAAAGAAGAAGAATTCCAGTACAGCAAAAAGTGTATCTGCAGAGAGCTCCGCTATTTCTGACAGTTCTCTGACAGTTCCTTCACATTTACAGCGGTTGAAACATTGTATCTATTTGTTTCCGAATAAAAACATCTGTATCCTAAATGGAAACAAATAGATACAATGTTTCAACCGCTGTAAATGAACTGTCAGAACTGTCAGAGAACTGTCAAAAATAGCGGAGCTCTCTGCAGTGACACTTTTTGCCGGCTGATCGGGGAAAATTCGATTCGTGCATCCGAAGTTTGCTAAAATTCGGATTCGGTGCGAATCGAATTTTTCCTAATATTCGAAACGAATTCCACTTCGCCAAGTTCGATTCGCTCATCTCTAATTCTCATGCATGCCAAAGCATGTCTTACTGCATGCACTGGCATTTTAAAGCATTTACATGGATTTCAATGGGAAAGTCATAAAGTAAAAATGCAAAGAATCCAGCCTTAAAACTGAGAAGATTTCTTTCACCATTGAAAGATTTTCCCTCACTTCTGTCCTGATGTTCACTGTCAAAGTTTGATTTTCCATCACTTTCTGTCTCAGTGGCAATGGCCACCATGACAGAGAGTGTGAGACTCTGAAAGTGGAGACAAAGACAGAAATTACAACCCTAACATTGGATCCATCACATGTCATCCTAAACTGAAAAAGTCTCAATGTTCTATGCTATAGGGAACATCTAGAAAAATAACTGTGACTAAACAGTACCCTAAAAAATCTTGTGTCTATGCACACCTGTGCCTTATGCCTCATAGCTGTCTATTTGCAGTGTGGGTTATCTAAGGCGTTGCTGTCTTTTACTGCTAGTCTCATGACTAGTGTAGAAGAGATGTGTTGGCAAATGCCAGCGCCCTAAACCATACTAACCCAACTTTCAAAAACCCCGTTTCCCAAACACCCCTCCACCAATAAAGGAGACCACACATTGTTGGAGTAAAAATGGCCTACACGGCCTTTTATTAACAATTCAACTTAAATCACAGAAAACATTCCTTAACCTCCCTAGCGGTCTGATTATGTCCATATTTCTGTGCTGAAAGCGGTACCATTTTTTTGCATGGAAATATGTATTTTTTTTTATTGTAGGCTGTAATTTTTAGGAATAACTCACTGAAATCTGTCCGAACAAGAGTCTATTAAACATCCCGGGTATGATAACATTTGAAACACGAAATCATAAATTATAATGTAATAAATAATCATAAAAAATAATAATATAATAATAATAAATTTAATTCAATTTTTTAATCAAACCAAAAACACTGAAATTTGAAATATAGCGCCAAGTTTGCACATCACTGAGCAAAGTCGCAAAATCGTTTTCAGTGTCTGATGACGAATTTCCCCACAAATCATTATCACTCAATTCTGCAAGTAGTTCTAATTTACTATCGCTGTTCTCTAACCGGTCTAAAACCAATTTTGACCTAAAGGGACGCTTTTTGGATGCCATGGACATTTCTCAGTTTCCAGGCAGAAAGAACAGTAAAAATGCAGGCAGGGCACAGGACAAAGCACTCGGGACAAAATGTATGTGAAATGGTTTGATACAGTAATGTTTTACTATGTGGTTTTAGTGTATGTCACTTTTTGTCATTTTCAAATTTCCCGCCAGTTCCGTCCCCCGTACATCCTGACGCTCACAGGGGACGGAACCCAGATGACAGATGCCGGCATCTGCCGAATTACATTGTCGGGGACACTGCAGGAGGGACATCGCGGTGAGCGCAGGACAAGGTAAGTGAAGAACAGATGCTGGAGCAGCACCGCATGGTAAGCCCGAGTGTAGCTCGGGGTTACCGCTTTTGGTACTGAAACTTTACCCCAAGCTACACTCGGGAATACCGTCAGGGAGGTTACAACAGAAACATACATAAACCTACAAAATGAGTTGTTGGTCTAGGCAGGCACCCAAAACAATATTGATCTCCCCCTGCAGAACCTTAGCTATAATGTTCCTACTAGGCCTCCAGCTGCGACGCACTGACTCGTAGACAAGGACACACCTTCTGCAGTGTAGACCTCCACCTTCCAGTTAAACCTTGGTTAACTGGAATTCATCTGGGCACACCATACCACAGTTGGGTCCCAACCATACACTTTTTCTTCAAAACAATTTGCCACCTCCCAAGACCAACAACTGCCCCAAAACTAAACCAATCAAGCACAAAAGACCCCCCCCCCCAAAAAAAAAACCACCCCAGGGGAGGTGGGACTCCAACTTAGGACTGCAGTACGTTGGGCCGCCACGAAGTGGCTTCTGCAGTTTACGCATATATTTGCAAATGTGTGCAAACTAAACCCCTTGTTTTAATGTGAACTGTCAGGGTAGTTTGGTTTGTTGCAGGCTGGCTGGTAAGTGAGCTTGGGAGGTTTTGTTTGTTGTTTTTTGACATGCATTGCCCTTCCATGTTCCTTGCTGCAAATGGTCCCCAGCTAAGCCGAGCTGAGACCTGAACAGTTGCACCGGACTCCTGAGGCTTTTCTCCTCAGGGATCCAGGGATTGGCTAGAGATCCATAAATATTCAGGCTGTCTTTCCTGCCCTTTCTCCCACTACACTTCTAGAACACACCAGAAGACAGGGGAAATTATCAAGCCAGCAACATGTGAGACTCTGAAATGGCTACTAGCACCATTAACCCCTCTGCTCCTCTGTCTAAAGGGGAGCCAACTAAATTTACCTAGCAGCCTACCAAATTAGGAGGGTGCTGCTACATGAGATTTGCTGATGTCATTAATGTGCTGCTCACTGTTCTTCTTGTTGCAGAGGAAGCTGTACCTGAGCACCTGCAGTGCAAGAATCATTGTGGATTGTGTGGATGTATTCCTCCACCTCTTCTGCTATTTTTCTGGTCATTTTTCTACCAGTCATCAAATCATTTATACCAGTCATCTAATACATAAGAATGTATCCCAAACCTGGTATAGGGATGGTTTTACCTTGACTGACCTAATGCTACAAGAATGTCATTACTATGAACTGATCAACTGAAGGAATGTGTGCTAGCATTCTTAAAAGGTAATGCTACCTTCTGAGGGTTACAACCGGTCAATACTACCAGTTATTCCTGTATATACTACAGCCAAAAAGTGGAATACGTTAGTCTCTCATCAGGTGTGCTAAAAGCACGTGTCTGGTTTGATCATCTGCCAAGTCATAAAACTGGTGTGACTCCTTGGTGAAATGCATCTACGGCTAAGTACTGTGTTACATTGTTCCAATATTATTAAATTTGTTTTCGCTATCTGTCATTACTTAACTAAATGTTATATATAGTTTGATTTTGTCTGCAACTTGTGTGATCTCTCTTTGCACATCAAACCCCCTTCTCCCAAAAAAAAATAAACTATCACGTGACTATGAAAAAACTGATGTTAAAGTTCAGGGATTTTAGTTTTTAGAACAATATTATTAATCTGCTGGAATTAAGTCTGCTCTAATGCAAGCATACAAAAAAATGTGTCCTTCGCTACATAATAGATTGTCAAGGACATCAAAGCTATGAATAAAAACAATGCAATACAGTATAGCGAACTGCTTCTTAACTTTTCTTTTTTTCTTTTTTTTTTTTTATACAAACCCACATGAAAGAAAAATATATTTGAAATATATTTTAAAAATAGTCTTCTCAAATATATTGACATATATTTGAAATGCTACAATTTTGGCTATATTCAGTATATTTCCCTCCCTGGTCTCCTCCTCCCACGCCCGATTGCAGGACTTCTCTAGGACTTCCCCCATCCTCTGGAACTCCCTACCCCAATCCATCAGACTGTCACCTACCCTCCTCACCTTTAGGCGCACCCTGAAAACCCTCCTCTTCAGGGAAGCCTACCCCGGCCTCACCTAACACCTGACCCCACCTAACAACTAACCTCCTCCACTCCTCCCACCACTCCATCCCCCACAGCCATTTCCTCCTGTACCACCTTACCCTCCCTACTAGATTGTAAGCTCGAAAGAGCAGGGCCCTCGAACCCCTCGTGTATTGTATTGTTACTGTCTTGTCTCATGTTCTGTCCCCCTTGCTACTGTACAGCACTGAGCAAACCCTTTGGCGCTATATAAATACTGTATAATAATAATAATAATAATATTTCAATAAATATATATACACTGCATCTTTAAAAATACAGATCTACATTTTTGGAATGCATTTAGAAATATATGTAAAAATATATGTTAAATTTACTTTTTTATGTGTTAAAAAATATCTGAAATATATATTTAAATATATATATTTTTAAAAATATATATTTTTTAAATATATTCTTCAGATTTTTTTTACATATAAAAAAAGTCATTTTAACATATATTTTTACATGTATTTCTAAATGCATTCCAAAAATGTAGATTTGTACTTTTAAAGACATACGGTATATTTGAAATTTATTTTTAAAAATATTTTTCATATATTTTGTCATAAAAACACATTTCAACATGCAGTATGTATATGCATATTTATTGAAATATATTGAATATGGCCAAAATTGTAGCATTTTTTATATATATCAATATATTTGGGAAGAATATTTTTAAAATATATTTCAAATATATTTTACTTCCATATGGGTAATACATGCATATTTCACTTTAAAGGGAAACTGTCAGGGAAAATGTGGGGCTGCTTTTGCTGAATTGCTTCTTAGGGCACTTTCACACTGCTGCGCTGCAGTTTACCAGGTGCAGAGCAGTGACCTGGTGGCTTTTGTGTGGATTTCATGAGTTTTCCCATAGATCAGGGGCGGACTGACCATTTGGAAACTCGGGCACTGCCTGAGGGCCCGGGGTCAGTAGGGGGCCCCATGAGATTCCCCTGGTACCTTTTTCATAGGCTTGTTTGAGTTTGGGCAAGGACACAGGGGCCCCATGATCCCCTATTGCCCGGGGGCCCCATGAGTTGTCAGTCTGCCCCTGCCATAGATGCAAGCATTCAAGCACTTATAGTAGATCTGGCCTTTTTTTTAGTTTTCTGAAAACGCACCAACGTCCTGCATGCTGCATCTTTGGTGCACTTTCAGGAAACACAACAATAAGACCCAATCTAATTGAAGTCTATGGGAGAGAGTGGGTAACCCACACGTAAATCGCAGGTATGTTGAGTTGCAATGAAGCCAAATCACAGCACAGCAGTGTGAAAGTGTCCTTACACTGGGTCTGTCATTTTCAAAGTTGACTTGCTTGGTGAGTCACTGAATTTGAACAAATATGTAACACAGGAGTTGTTATGTTACTTGCTGCATACTTGTTCAGGGTCAAGGACACACTAGATAGCTATCTAGAGTCATGTATTAAGCCCACACTATAAAAGACTCTCTATACCTATCTTCTCTTTTGCACTTGTCTTCAGACTTTGCTGGTTTGCTGATCCCAGCAGCTGCAAGTTTTCAATGCGCAGTCATTTTGAATACCTGCAATTCCTCCCATCAGCTTGTATATTCTGTAGCGGCATGCAGGGTCAGTTTAAACCATAAACAAAAAGTGAAAAAATGCCATAGTTTAGGGTGTAATCACCCCTAGGGGCAGACTGAACATTTGGAAACTCGGGGCACTGCCCGAGGGCCCAGGGTCAGTAGAGGGCCCCATGAGATGCCCCTGGTACCTTTTTCATAAGCTTTTTTGAGTTTGGGCAAGGACACAGGGGCCCCATGATCCCCTATTGCCTATAATACAAACAGAGGTGTGTATTATTAACCGAATATGAGCATACTAGAAAAGTAAGCAGTTGACTAGAACAAACTGCAGAAAGAACGGTATTTTAAATCCAATGCAGAGTAAACTAATACATCAAAATGGATGCAAAACAGTATCTTATTATGATCACTAGGATCCTCTGAAAGGTGGGCATATGACATGGTGAACACATAGTCAATCAAAAAAATAAAAGCAGTGTATTAAAAACAAAAAACACAAAATATCTTGCGCATTCACTTAGCCGAATCATGGTAAATTTGTGCATGGCTAGGAAACCGATAGATAGGAATTTTTGGATGGAAGAATGTAATTCAAAGTTTAAAGCATACAGTATGTGAACTCAGAAGCTATTTTCTAAATATATTTCTGCTATGCACCCAGTAACCATAATAGCCTTATAAATGTTATTTTTTTTCTTTAGCTTTATTAAAAATAATGACCTAATTAAAGTGACTGACGGTTGCATAAACAAAATCTAGAGAAAGATTTTTGCAATAAAAGTGTTATCCTTACCTCCCATGTTGTTAATTTTAGCAGTAAAGCCAAGAAACTACCCAGATGTTTATTAATGTACCTTTACTAAACAAGACGGCTGGGTATACAAACTATTTACAATTACAGGAATGCAATACAAGACATAAAATACAAATATGCATATATACATACATACACTATATTGCCAAAAGTATTGGGACACCCTTCCAAATCACTGGATTCAGGTGTTCCAATCCCCTCCATGGCCATAGGTCAGGGGTGGGCAACTGTGGCCCTCCAGCGATTGTAGAACTACAAGTCCCATGAGGCATTGCAAAACTGACAGTTACAAGCCTGGCTTCCAAAGGCAGAGGAATTATGGGACTTGTAGTTCACCAACAGCTGGAGGGCCACAGTTGCCCACCCCTGCTATAGGTGTATAAAATCAAGCACTCAGGCATGCAGACTGATTCTACAAACATTTGTGAAAGAATAGGTCACTCTCAGGAGCTCAGTGAATTCAAGCCTGGTATTGTGATAGGTTACCACCTGTGCAATAAGTCCATCCGTGACATTTCCTGGCTACTAAATATTCCACTGTTAGTGGTATTTTAACAAAGTGGAAGCAGCTGGGAACAACAGCAACGAATTGATAGGCCACGTAAAATGACAGAGCGGGGTCAGCGCATGCTGAAATGTAC